GAAAAAAAATTTTAAGTACGGAAAAAAATTTCTAAGATAAAAGTTACACAAAAATATGTGGCTGATGAAGATTGATTTAAACCAATCATATTTTGAGAAAAGGGGGGTCTAGGATAAAGGCCTACACCCAGGGTACAGGTTAAGGAACCCTTTAGTATCGCCCATAAATTTATAAGTAAAAATTTCACCCTACGTGACCGGTGACATATAATGAACTTCCCCAGCGTAACCACCAAATAATACTGTCATATGACTTTTTGGCTGGAATTATAACTGTCGTTTTGAAATTAAGAATTAAGGGCGAAATGACAAATAATGTTCAAGTTCCTGGAATACTTATAAAAACGAAAAACTACGGGCGTGACGCGGGTGATGAATATTTTTACTATGATCACGTGACTGTATTTTTTGGTTGTGCTGAGGAAATCCATATAATGGGCGTGAAAAAAAAATATTTTTCATCAAATTAAAAAATTCCGTTCCCGGAATACTTATGAAAAATAGAAACGCGAAGGGTGTGATACGGGATGACAAATTAGACGAACACAGCGTCGCCCGTAAAAAATGGTATCCGGATTTTATTTGCCGGATATTTATTATTAGGGTTAGTATTATAGTTAGGGTTTGCTAACCGTATATGTCCTTCAGCTAAAGCTTCAGGTTAATTATATAAAATCAATTAATTAACAAATTAAAATAAATAATATAATACTCTAAATATTATTAAATAAGCAATAATAAGGTAGCTTTATTAAAATAAATTAATAAAATTTGAAATTGAGCTTTAAGAGTAACTTTTCTAAGAAAATATTAGTAAAATATAATTATTTTTATTATTTGTACAAAAATTACTAATAAAATTATATAACAGATAGTTTTAATTAAAAAAATACACACATGCAATGATCATACAGAATATCGGCTGTTTCTTAGGAAGACCTGTCAGCTTGAAACAAGATATAGGCACTATAGAAATTTGCATGTAAATAGAGGAGGTAAATGTCTTTTGAAAAATAATAGATCGATATTAAAATTAAGAATTATATTTTTTTCTACGGAATATAAATTTTATTGTTCTGGTGCAATAAGAGTTATAATTGTATCAAGAATCCTAGAACAAGTGTCTATATTGATTAAAACTGTCCACAGTATAGATGTAAAGGTAAACCACGTGAATAACATATAAAACGAACTATATAAAACGCCTCCGATACGTGATCATTTCAAAATAAATTATGTCGTAATAAATGATGTCATATTAAACGTGTACTGATGAGTAGCACAGACACTAAAAACCGATATTTGCGACACTAACCTGTTTTGCACCAATAATATTTAGATTTTCTAAATGGCTAAACAATCCACCGAAAAAATGGATGAAACAATCATCAAAGGACTTGTTAAGGAATCTATATAATTTTAGAGAAAAACCAACAGAACGTTATTTAGCAAGCTTATTTCCGTAGAAGCTAACCCTATGGGCTGGAGTGCAAGAAGATTATATATGGACCTTTTCCACCAATACTAATCATTATAATAACATGGGTTAATTTCGATAACATAGCTAACAATATTTACGTAACACAAAATTGGTAATAAACAAATCCAATTTCATTCGTCGATCAGGCTATAGTACAGAACGACATTGCCTAGAAGTAAAGGTCCTCGTTTTGGGCCTCGATATGCCTCCTTTACACATACTATATCAACCTCCCTACCAGGAAAGCGACTCTTGAGAAGCAGGTGATATTTCTTACACAAAAGTTGGAATTTCTGCGCAATTGAATAAAGAAGGAGGAAACGTCTCCCAACCGCGATAATTCTGACATATTCAATTAAAAACAACAAATTGACGAGATTTATGATAGGGGCATTAGTTATTCTAGATGTCATAACCAATTGAAATGGGGTTGGAACTTATGCATGAAAACCTGATGATTATGAGTATCGCAAGGTACCAAGCGCGTCGTAAAAAAACGCGACTTTATGTAATCGTGTGTTAATTGTAATTTTATTTATATTATTGGCAAAGTTATATTTAATTGGTATGTTTGAATTTTTTTATTTTATAAAAGTCATTTATTCATATTCATATTAAATATTTGCATAAAAATTAAGCTTTTAAATTTATTAAATTATAGGTTTCATTGATATGATTTTCATTACGAAGTTATTCTCTCGTCGATCACACAACACACTTACATCAATAGATCAATATAATTGACATTATATGGGAGGGTTTCTAGGAAAATCAGGTTCCAAGAAATTTTTGACTAACATTAAGAGTTTAATACGTTTTAATCTAATAACATCAAAAACTAAAATGCAATAAAAATCTCAATTTTGCTAAAAAATTCTCGACAAATATATAAGTTCACAAATTCGCCAATCACATATACTTAAAAATTGTTCTTTATGTTTGGATGATTCTAATTGATATTGTCTTGATTCAGTTAGTTCAATAATCATTGGAAACGGCCATTCAAAATTTTTGAACCCCTAAAAAGGGCCAAAATCATTCACTAGTTGCGCCTAACGCGGAAATTAAAAACGAAATGATAGGACATCTGCCTAAAAAAAAAAAAAATAAGAAATGAAAATAAGTCTATGAATCCAATCCGAAAACAAAATAATTAATAAATGAAAAAAACCTAATTAATGCATTTTATTCTTAAAGAAATCGCCTAAAGAAGTTAAAAGAATAATAAAATCTTCGTCACGATTCTAAAAAAACCAACAAAATAAAATAATTATAATAAAACATAATGTAGAAAAGGAAAAGAGTATCTTATTACAAACTGGAAAATAAAATTATCCCACGAAAAGAAATCACATCAAAAAAAGAAAAAAAAAAAGTTATCTATTAAGTGAGAAAAGAGATCGGTCGATCGCAATGCCCTAAAAAAGAATTTTAACAAGGATCACACTATATAATTAAGTATTTTTCTCTTAGAAAAGTAGAAAATAAATAAACCTTCATGGCACAAGCTTTTTCAATCTTTTTATTATTCCAATAGTTTCGGAATACTGAAAAAATGATTTAAATTTTAGAATTCACTATATAGTTTAAATAAATTTCTTAACGTACCTTATTTTAAAAACCAATCTATTACGTCATACATAATCTTCTCAGTCACATAATCTCCTGCTGAAACATAGGAAAGGTATCGACATACATATTCATCGACATATTTTGTAAAAAATTTATTTCTTGGATTATTAGGCGTAAGCAGATTATTGAAGTATTATAACATCGGAGAATTGTTAATGAGTTAGGTAAAGTTGATAAATTGGTTACTTTAGTAATAAAGTAACTGAGAATTGTAAAAGGTAACCCATTATAATGCTCAATGATAGAGTCTATAAGAAGTAGGGAATTTAATTATTTTAACTATGATCGATGATTGATTAATCAATCAATTAATCGATCATAAATTTAAGATTCAATTAATTATGATCGATTAAACATACAATCAATCAATATAGTCAATCAATATTATTTAGTTTAAATCGATTAAAGATTCGATCAATCATATAATCAATTAATATAATATTTGAAATAAAGGAAATTTAAAATATATTTCTTAATTAATTTTAACTTAACTATTAATTAATTTTGATTTCTTTATTTATTTATTTTATTTATTATAAATTTATAATTATCATTTTATTACTTTTATTATATATATTTTTTTGCAAACGAATATAAATAGAAAATTTTAAATGTTGATCAAATTTACTGTATGCAGGCAGATCTATATAATATTATTGGTACTAAAATTTTCCTTTTTCATTTTCTTTGTTCAAATACGCGAAAATATTTTTTAATTTTGTTTTAAATGGCAAGTACCTCAAGGAAACGCGCTAAAAGAAAAGATACTTCACATTTGTCTAAAAATAATAGTGCGTTTGATAACTCACACAATAATTACGCTGACTGAACAAGAACCACAATGGATTCCTAACACCGGAAAAACAAGTTTTGTTTGGAAGTTCTTTCAAGCTAAAACTGATGGTCGTGCATATTGCAGATATATAGATAATAATAGTAATGATGAGGGGGAGTGTAACTATTGTTGTATCTATAAAAGTCAAACTAGTAGCATGATATATCATATTCAAAATGTTCATAAGGAATATGGGAGTAAGTACTGAAATTGCATAATAAATTACTGTTTTATTTATTTATATTAATTTTTATTTTTTATATTTAATATTAGCAATAAACAATTGATGAACAAATTAAGAAAGTTACGCCATATAAGGAGCCAAAGCAACAAGAATTGCGTTATGCAGTAGCAGATTGGGTTGTTACTGATGGATTTCCTTTTAGCGTAGTTCAAGGACAAGGTTTTAAGCGAATGATTAATAAAGTTAACCCAGAATTTATTTCACCATGCTATGCAACTTTAAAACGGGATATAGGATGTGGATATAAAATAGCAATTGAATTAATGAAAGACCATATTAAGAAAACTTGTACTTACGCGTCAATAACTGCAGATCTTTGGACATCAAGAGCAAAAACTGGATACATTGGTATAACATGTCATTGGTTAACTCAAGAAATGAAATTATATGATATACTGGTATGTGTAGAGCAAATTTCCTATCCTCATACTGGTGAGCATATTCGTAATTCAATTCAAACTAAGCTAAAGGTTTTAGGTTTAGAAGAGAAAATAAATATAGCAATTACAGTACGGATAATGGAGGCAACATGTTAAAGGCAATCAGAGAATGGGATGGTGTAAATTGTGTTGCGTGTTCTGCTCATACTCTTCAACTTTGTGTACTTAAAGGACTTAAGGAAATAAAACCATATCTCAATAAGTATGCCAAATTAAATCAATTTTTTGAATCACCTAAACAAATGGAAAGGTTAGAAGTTGCCCAACGAGAAATATTTATTAGACAAGTTGGAATGTATAATCCATAATCTTCCCCTACGGAAAGTGATAATCAAAATGAAGAAGAAAATATATATAAACCATTAAAGATTCTCAGAACAGTTACAGAAGTACCAACACGGTGGGGATCAAAATTAGCTTCCTGGAAATGATTAAAAGAATTAAAAGAACCAATAAAGCGTCTATATGCTGTACTTGTTCTGGAGGTAGATCGCGAAGCAAAAAAGGATCAACGATTAACAAATTTAATGCTTAATGACAATGAGTGGAATTTACTAGATAAATTAATTGAACTTTTAATTCCAATTGAAAGAGTAACGGAATTATTAGGAGGTCAAAAATATTGTACGCTATCATTAATTTTTCCTACAATTCAAACACTTAAATTTGAATACACTCCGGATCAAAATATCGCAATGCCTGAAAGAAATATTAATGGTAAGTTTAATTATTTTTTAATATTTATTTTAATATAAACTATAATTATAATTAATTAAAAAAAAATTGAAATATCTATATTATACAAAAATAGCACTTTATTAATGTGAAAATTTTAATTTAATTAAATAATTCAATTAATTTAAACATTTAATTACACGTATAATTAATTATATAAGCAATATATAATACCGCAATTAAAAATATGTACTATTGTGTAGCGACTGTAGCATGGTTGAAATAAATAATGCTACATAATTTATAAAAATAACTTCTTACAATTAACTAGAAAATAAAATTATCAATTAATTTTTAAAATATTAATTAATTAAAAAATATATTGTATAAAATAAGATATATAATAATTGTCACAGAAGAGAACCAAGATGATCTAGAAATTGAAGAAACATTTGCAGAATATCCACCATTATCACCAAACGATATTGACCCTATAATTAATTCGATCAAGAAAGGAATTTTTGATGCCTAATTTGATTATTGGAATGCTCCACCGGATTCTACGTTGTTGGCTAGTTTATTGGATCCTAGATCTAAAACAATGTATGGGTGGTCTTTTGAATTACAAGAAATAGCAAAACTTTTATTAAATTCAGAATATAAAGAATTTAAAGATGATGAAAATCGTGAAATACCTGAACAAGTTCGCCAAACTTCTCCAACTCAATCTTTTGCAAGCAAAATTTTTGGTCCTCCTCAAACACAACTATCAATAGATAATGAAATTGGTCATTATTTGGATAATATTAATACTCCTCAAGCTTTTCCTAACGTTGATATATTTCAATGGTGATTTTAAAATAAGAAAAAATTTCCAATTTTATTCAAAATTGCGCGTAAATATTTAGGGATTCCCGCAACTTCAGTGCTATCTGAAAGACTTTTTAGCGACGCGGGAAATCAAATAAGCTCTGAAAGAAATAGATTAAAGCCACAAACTGTGAGTGAGTTACTTTTTTTAAAGAGAAATATGGAATATATTAATCCATTTAAATAAATATATGCAATAAAAAAGAGTTTATAATATACCGAACTCATTTAAAAATTTAACTTTGATTATCGTTATTATTATGTTAGTTGATCGACTAAATTAATCGATCGTTATCTTGGTCGATTAAATTGATCAATTAATCGAAGGTTTTAGAGGCAATTAAATTCCCTAATAAGAAGAAAGAGTTTTCTTCTATAAAAACGATTAAATAGTTGATTTTTATGTTTTTAAAAAAAAAAATGTCATGGTGGATAGTTCGCTTAACCTCAAATTTCGTCTCGTAACATTTAATTTACAAATTTAATACAGGATAGCATAGTTAAAGTTAAGTAATTTTCAAGATGAATGATCTGTCAAAAATTTATTCATGCATAAGTAACAGTTTGACTTATAAATTAATTTAAAAAAAAAAAAAAAAAAATATTCAAAAAGCTTTATTGAAAAAATTATATTTCATACCGTGATTACCTTCTTTACTCTGGGACTTTTTTGTTAATTTTTTTTATAATTGTGATAATATCTTGCCGTTTGACTTGACTGCGTGTTAAAGTTGGACTTCCTTAACCTCTAACACTCGTTGTCTATATAGATTCAGGGTGTTTCAAATATGTTGATGCATCTTTCTCAAAAAAATTATGATGTGAGAAATAATTCGTTTTGCTAATCAAACTTTTCAAATGAAATGAACGATATTGTTTAACACGCTCTTTTTGAGGTAGTTGATCTTCTGGTTTAGGCGCAATCCCCTTACTATTAATGATTTTGTTTCATTTTGCTTATTCAAATTTAGTCGCAGTTTCAGCAAATAACTGGGTATTATGTTACCTGCACATATGGATATACAAGAAACAGACATCTGAAAATTGTTTATTATAATGATGTTGATACGCGCAGTCATTTCTTTCATAACTTACCTGGTTCTTCAAAACTAAGGAGCATTTTCGTATCACGTTACGGATCATATTTTCGTAATAACATAACCAAATTTCTCATAAGGAATTTTCTCTTCGGCAATTTCCCAGAGCAGTATACCAAAACTATAAACTTCACAATTGATATCGTATTTATATGACGACCCTTTGTCTAACCTGTCTAACCTTTCTGGGGCGCAATGTCGTATAGTTTCTAGTGTAAAAGCTTGATTTGCTGTACCATCAGTAATTGCTCGACTTGCTTTAAAATTTGCAATTTTAGCAATTTTATGATAGGTAAAATATCACGATGAACAATCTATCGAGACGAGTTCATTCCCACACAAAATAATAAAAATGGTTACTTTAGAAGTTAAGATTTAAAGAATGTGTTTATATGGTTACCTCAACAACGCTCAAGAAATTTAAGCCCTTAGCAATGTCAAGGGCAAATCTTAACTTCAGCTTAACATCAAGTGGACCATAGGTTTTATAATATTCACTTAAATTGCCATATTCAGCCCATTCCGTTACCAAATAATATTATCTACATATAACGTTAAACCATGCCATGTAATTGAATAATATAATGACATTCTTTCAATTTTTTTAAGATTGTGACTTGATTTCTAATATTATTTTTATCGTCTTCACTGCATCCAGATCAATCACCAATTTTAATGCGACATAATCATTCAATCCATGTTTTCTTAAACTTTCTAAAGGTTCTTCAAAATTATTATATTCAAGTAATTCGCTTTGTAATACATCTGATTGATCTGATGAATTTTTATGTGCTAACTGAAGTGCACTAAATCGCACGACTATGTACGAGACATCTTGATTTATGTCAGTTGTACCACTGCCAATAGTTTCAAGGTACTAAAAGATTTTTAAAAAGATTACATGTATTCATAAAACATTAATTCAAAGTACCACATTACCTGATTTAAATCTTCAATATCTGACTTCAAAGAAATTGCATAAGGCATATAGTAGAATCAAATTCAGAAATTAAGCCTTTAACATTTTTTCAATATTATTGGCTGAAAATAATTGTTTAATCCTTTTATTTGAGAAATTTCTTCAACAAATTTATGAATTCTGACAATCACATGAACCAATTTCCGTAAATTAAATAAATTTCCATCCAAAAAAAAAAGTAAATTATTTTCTTTACGGTATCTTAAATTTCTTACGGCCGTATCAGCAACTTGGACTCTATCCAACAAAATCCCACATATTTTTTTTATTATGTTTAACTGCTTGATATATATCTGTGATTTCATTGAAAACTGTGGTTAACTTCTGTTATAAGTGGTGAAAATCTTTCAAATGGCATTACCACGTTGGCTGCGGTTTCTACTGTACTGTTGTTGTTGCCGTGCCGAGCGTTTATTCTATAATATCTTCAGAGTCAACAAGTTTAGTTCTCATTTGAATGCTAATATGAAAGTCTATATGATAACACAAAAATTTGTAAATAAAAAAAAATATATATATTCATAAAGTTCAGATATATCACACGTTACCTGATTTAAATCGTCGATATCAGACTTAATATCTTTATTATATTTATCAGCACGTTCGTTAAAGTCAACTGTCAAAGAAATTACAGATGATGTATAGTAGAATCAAATACGTTCATTAATTCTTTAACACGTATTTCAATGCTTTTGACATTGAATATCTATTAAACTTTTGTTGTTAACGCCATGGGTTGATTATCATACGTGGCCTTGTAATTATAGTTAAACTCTGATATTATTGTCTAAAAATAACTATTCTATTATTTTTCTTGCAATATGAAAATGAACGCTGATTAATGTTTACATGTGTATCATTTAAAGTTTATTTATTGTCTTCATTTGATGATCATATTTCGTTTACGATTGTTGTATTCCTTATGAATTTGTTAACCTGGTGTATTAAATATGGCAATTGAGGCACAAAAAGCAGAGGTCAGTAATTTGTAATTCAGTAATTCAGTTTAAGATTTCGAAGCAATAATTAACAATTTGGCATATTTTTATTTTTATTTTATTTTGATAAAGATCCTTAAGTAATTGAATTTTTTACGTGTTCCAAATCAAATCCTGATATCATGTAATTATTTCACTTTTTATTTTTTAAAAAAAAAAAAGTTTCATGCTGTAAAGAAATCTATTGATGAAGGATAGTAAGCAACTATGCAACTTTTATAGTAATAGTAAATTACTGAGAATATTTTAAGTTTTATTATTTAAATTCATTTTCAAGTTATGTATACATTTCCGCAATTGAAAATGAATTTCGTACTGGATTCTGAAAGTGTAATGTATTTTCATGAATATCGAATGCTTTACATTATGGCAGAGAAAATAAATCTAAACTATCGAAAATTGACATAAACAGTATCTTCAATTATTAAATCTTACGTAAAAAACTAAAAAAATAATGTATTAATCTTAAAAATTTTATACAATAAATGACACCACACCATCTACATTTTTTCGGTTCCTACATCTCGTTCATCTCCTTTAGCAGCTATTTTATATAACTCAAATGCCTTTTCCTTATTAATATTAACTACAATTCCATGTTCATAAAAATATCCAACTTTATAATGCGCTTTTAAACATTCTTGATTAGCCGATTTTTTATAAAATTCAAATGCTCTAACTAAATTCTTACTAACTCCTTTTCCTATTTCATAAAATTCTCCCAATTTATATAATGCTTCTTTATCATTGTTGTTGGCAGCCTTATGATACCAGTAATTAATCTCGTCTATATCATTCATTATTTGACCTTTTTCATATAACTTGAAAATATTTTGTATGTTATTATCGTTTTTTCCAGAAGCCTCGTTATATAATTTCAATCCCCTTTCTTCGTCAATCTCTGCCCCAATTCCATTGATATAATAATATCCAAGAATAAATTCTGCATCCAAGTGTCCTTGTTCAGCCGATTTTTGACAATAATAAAATGCTTTAAATTCATCCTTTTCAACACCATTTCCTAATTCATAACATTCACCTAAATAATATAACGCGACTACATCTCCTTTTCAGCTGCTTTTTGAAACCAGTAAAAGGCGATTTCTAAATTTTTTTCTGTTCCAATTCCATCTCGATGACATTTAGCTAAATCAAATAATGCTATTTTATAATCAAACTCTACTGCTTTTTGATACCAATAAAATGCTTTTTCTAAATTCATTTCAATTCTTATTCCATCTTGATAATATTTAGCTAAAATATACATTGCTATTTCATTGCCATTTTCTGCTGCTCTCTGATACCAATAAAAAGCCTTTTCTGAATCTTTTTCTTTTCCTTTTCCATCCTGATAACAAATGGCTAAATTATACATTGCTATTTCATAATCATTTTCTGCTGCTTTTTGATACCAATAAAACGCTTTTTCTAAATTTTTTTCTATTATTTCACCCTTTTCATATAATAATGCTAGATCATTTTGTGCTTTAATGTATCCATTTTCTGCCACTTTTTGATACCAATAAAAAGCCTTTTCTAAATTCTTTTCTGTTCCTTCACCATTTTCATAAAATAATGCAAAATAATTTTGTGCTCTAATATTTCCATTTTCTGCTGCTTTTTGATACCAATAAAAAGCCTTTTCTAAATCCTTTTCTATTCCTTTACCATTTTTATATAAAACTGCAAGATTATATTGTGCATCTTTATTATCATTTTCTGCTGCTCTTTGATACCAATAAAAAGCCTTTTCTAAATCCTTTTCTGTTCCTTTACCATTTTTATATAAATTTGCAAGATTAAATTGTGCATACTTATAATCATTTTTTGCTGCTTTTTGATACCAATAAAAAGCCTTTTCTAAATCCTTTTCTGTTCCTTTACCATTCTTATATAAAATTGCAAGATTATATTGTGCTTTTTTAATACCATTTTCTGCTGATTTTTGATACCAATAAAAAGCCTTTTTTAAATCCTTTTCTGTTTCTTTACCGCTATAATATAAGTTTGCAAGATTATATTGTGCATCTTTATTATCATTTTCTGCTGCTCTTTGATACCAATAAAACGACTTTTCTAAATTCATTTCTATTCCATTACCAATATAATATAAAATTGCAAGAATATATTGTGCATCTTTATCGCCATTTTTTGCTGCTCTTTGATACCAATAAAATGCCTTTTCTAAATCCTTTCTGTTCCTTCACCAT